TGTGTGTGTGTGTGTGTGTGTGTGTGTGTGTGTGTGTGTGTGTGTGTGTGTGTGTGTGTGTGTGTAGTCACAAAAAATGTACGTACAAGATCTACTTAACTTGAATATCTTATTTTTGATAATAAGAAAAAATGTTTTAGATAAAAATGGAACAGTCTTAAATAAATGATATATATAGGATGTATATATAGACTATATATATAGCCACCTTGTATATATAGGATGACTTAAAATATAGCAAGTTCTTGAAAAATTAAGTAAAAAAGTTATTTGTAAATTTTTATTTATGCAGTAATTTTTGAGATAATAATGGTTTAAATATGACCAATTACAGACTACGTTTAGATAGATCATCTATTCATAAGTTGCACGTGTGATAGTATTAGTGAGTAGTACACATAATTTGCTATATTTAAATCCTTATATATTCCTTATATATTCCAGAAACTATTACTTAAAATTTACAAATAATTTGTTTACTTAATTTTTTTAAAATTATCTTACTATTTTTTGTAGTATTTTGAGTCGCGAATTTTGAAACACCCTGTACATAAATTATATACATATAATACATATTGTATTCATATGGCGATGCACATATAAATAGGTACGAATCTCTATGAATGCGAGTGTAAGTATCATCATGCTCATAGGAGAAGTGGTTCACGAGGAGAAAATTGAAAACGGAGCTACACGTGAACACGGAAGACGATAGCACGATATATTCATGAAGGTGGAATAATGAATCAAGACGAGGTATATGCAAATATCCCACATCCTCGATACTGATGCGGCGTGGCATGCGCGTTATCTGCCATACCGGCAAACTGCTATGAATCGATCGATTTACTTTTCGCATAATGCGATGTGCCTATTTCAATCTTTAATATTTCCGAAAAGAAACCAAATTTTAAACATATTGAAACATTATTTTTTATTTTTTTCAGTACGATGGGTTTTTTTAATTTCAGTACAATAAGACCATTTGCTTTTTCTCACACAATTTAAATTGCTATTGACTAATTAATAAAGAAAATTTTAAATTGCACTATCGATTCAAGATGAATGTCAGTAAACATATAGAATTTATAAGTTATCGCAAGCAAAGAATAGCGAAAAGTGGATAGATGATTCCATGTTCAGCAGCAGCTCTAGCTATGAATTTGTTTCGACCGTAACGCGAACTTGCAACAGAATGCTGAAGGGATGGAAGAGTAAGGAAAGGTTAAGGATCGCGTATCATACTGTTTGATTAATGTACTTAACTCGTACATGTTCGTCTATTTTGGGCGATCCTGTCTACACATGGAGAACTCGGACACGCGAGTCATTTGTTAGTTACATTAATACGGGACAAAATAACGTACATAGCAACAAAATGTTACGGAGAAGCGATATATAGTAGCATACGCGAGAATTCATGCGAACGAGATAAAAACCTATTAGATTTATGATATTTTTCTTATAATAAATTGCACAACTTTTTGTTCAAAAAATTGATATTATCGAAATATAGATATATTATCCAAATGCGGAAATTAGATATTTTTAAATATACAGCCAATATGGAATAATAATAATAATGAAAACATCTGAATGATACGTAAATATAGGCAAACTTTAAATCGTACATTCTAAAAAATCCTATCAGTGTAGATTTAACACTATAAAGTGATTAATAATTCTTACCGTGTTGAAGTTAATACCAACATGGATTTAAAACCTAGTGTTAATATTAATATCAATACAGTGAAAAATATATGTATAGATACCACATGGTGTAAAATTCACATCAACATTTTTATAAGTGTACGACAAAAAACAGATTCTAATTTTTAAGAGATTTTAAAGAGATTTTTTTCTTAAGATGAATTTTTATCATATTAAATGGTACAGAATTCTGATCGATCTTTGCTCGCAACTCTAATCTAATAAATTAGAAATACACATTTTTTACACATATTGTCTTATTTCATATGCACTTTGTGACATACAAGAAGATATATAAGTCAGTATATCTCGTCAAAATATTTTTAAAAATCTAGATAAGAGAAATATTAATATCCTTTCATATTTTTATCGATTATCATAATGGCTCAAAATGTACACGATTGTCATTGTCATATATACTTAATGTAAATTTTATCAGACGAACTTATACCAAGGCAAATACTGATTACGCGATATAAACGATATGTCAGTGTCAATTTCAATGATAAGTACGTTAAGTGAAAGAAGAGCTCTTATTCATATTTTTGTGACTAAGCTCTCATGTAACATTTTCTTAGAGTACTGTGATAAAATCATTTGTACGTTCTCACACGATATTCTCACACGAGAGAGGGACAGAGAGAAAGAGACCACTCGTATGAATATATTTTACCTCTATAATCAGTAACAATTAACTTAAAATGTTCATGAATAACTTCGACATGAAAGATAATCATCAAATAGAAAAAAACCGCGAAAATATAGATTAACTTAATTGTCAAATTCGCTCAAGCGCAATGCATCTTAAATCTCTTATATGATATCGCATTTTTTTAAATTAATTTTTTATTTTGTTTTATGTCATATGTACCATAAATGCCAATTATATACCTTAATAATATCAAGAGCAAAAAAATCAAATAAAATCTTTTAGGCAAAACTCAAAGTTAGGTAATAAAAAGTTATATCAAATTCAAGATTTATGTATGCGTAAATTGCAGCAATTTAATTAAATCAAAATGTAATATATTAGAAACTTATTTTCTTGCTTAATATCATTATAATTAGAATATTTATATCATTATCATTAGAATATTTTTACTTTATTTCTAAATTAAAATGCAAATAATCTTTTAATTGGAAAAATGAATTATACACATCTTAACATACATTTTCTTCCTTAAACATAAAACTCTTAAATAGATAAAATACTTTAATGTTGTGTAATTTTTACGACTTCAAACGTCCAACAATTAAAAATTCTAATATAGAAAGCTTTAATGATAAAACGTTTTACGAGTTCTGATTATTATCTAAAATTCAAGGTTGACCTTGTGATGTCTTATTAACTTATTACATATCTTTTATCAATAATAAATATAAATCATATTTGATTGAAATCAAATTACATGATAAAGACAGTGTGATATAAAATTTAATTTAATTCAAGTTTTTTTATGTTAGTTCATAAATTATCGACTTATGATTGAGTTATAATTGCAGATTGTTCAATATTATTCGTGGCCTAAAAAAAGCAAATATACTCTGACATAAAAATTTTTCTGCAAAATAATATGACTAATAATCTTTCCTTTCGAGGAAAGTATATCTTCGATAGATAAAATCTGTCCTTGTGATAACGTGATATGAATATTTATAATATTCTATAAATTCAAGCGGCTATAAAAGCCGCTTGAACTCCACCAGTCACATTTAAACGAATCGGAGAGGTGTTAATAAGACGATACGTTTCTTAGTCCGAGTTAAATAAAGGATAGGCGATGAAGGGTAAGTATTAAAAATATTAAAAATCTTTTTATAATAAAATTATCATTAAAATAAAATGATCAAATGACATGCTATGTGTCGGAAATTTTTAACAATCCAATTTTATTATATAAATATCTGACGCATTCATTCGACTGTAATAAAAGCTGGTTAAATCATGATTCGCCCGTATCTACAATTGATACTTTGACAATGTGATTTTTGTTCTGTATAGGAATATACGTCGCCATCGTCTTCCTGGCAGCTTCGACCGTGAGCGTCGTGAACTCCGACCAGGATTTTTCGGAAGAAGTCTTCTTGGATGATATTCCTATAGTATGCCCATTGCCACAACCAAATTGGAGGAACACCACAACCAACATCCCGCATGAAAATAATTGCGTGTTGTTTTACAAGTGTAAACTGGGACAAGGTATCGAACAAATATGTCCCTTGATGATCGAAGGAGATCCAGAGTCGAGATTGCATTACAATAGACGCCTGCAGGTTTGTGATTGGCCATGGCAGGCCGGTTGCGCAAGTTGCCCAATACAGTATCCAAATGGAACATTTCCGCCGCCGGAAAAAATAAATAATCCAGCGAACGATTGCGAGTACCTACAGTGCGAAAATGGACACGCACTTGGACCATTTCGTTGTCCAACTGGTACATGCTTCAGTCGCACATGTCAGGAATGTGTTAGGGACAGGAATAATGGAAAATGCAATTGGGAAATTCCAATATGCATAGAAGGCGATCGAAGACTGCATGATTGTTACTGCAATTTTTATGAAGAATGTACAAGAATTAACGGACAACTTCATTGGATCCAGCATGTGTGCGAAGGTGGTATACATTTTAGTCCCACACAAAAAAGATGCATGCTACCGAATGAAGCTAATTGTCCACACATAAGGCATCTATAAGGCAGAAAAAAATTGTTGTAATTATCACAACCATATTTATAGTCATTTTCGGTGCCAGCTATATATTATTCATATCGAACTACAAATATAATTATTATTAACGCTACAGCAATAGCTATAAAATTGAAGCACATCTAATCATAATTATTTTATCATGAAATAATTACAAATATTACTTTTTTCTCAGTGTATTATAAAAACCTGGCAAACTATTCAACGCTTAGTCTGAAGAATAAATGGTGTCACAAGTGCAGTTGCAGGTTACATATACGAATATAAAAGAAAGAATCTTTTTTCAAAGTTTTTTTCTTTGATAAGTATAAAGATATGACTTCTCTCTCGTTTTCTCTCTTTAAAAATATACAAATACCCAAATCATAAAAGTCATGAAGACATTTGTGCATCGATTTCAGAAAATACTAAAGTAGTGATGATGAAGAAGAAATTACTTTACAACTACTAAAATTGTTATTAATATTGTTATTATATTTGTTTGAGTAGCTAGTTTCCTAAGATATTTTAATAAATCTGATAAAATGTATGATCATTTCTTTGCAACTTCCCTGTCAGTGTAATCCTTCTGTAAATACATACATATATACCACTCATGTCACACACACACACACACACACACGCGCGCGCACGCGCGCGCGCACACATACACTCACATCGCTGTTTTGTCATTTCCAATTCAGATAAAAAAAACTTATGATAAGAATAATCTTATTTGGTAATCTGCAGTATAAAATAAAAAGATATCAATTATCGCTCGGATATTCAACCGTAACACCAAATACAGACGCTGAGCGTCGCATCATCAGTACGAATTATAAAAATAAATCAAAATTATTAATAAAAATTTCTTCTATACAATCTCTAGTCACGAATCTTATCATTCAGTCTCCAAATGCACACTTATAAAAATAAATAAAATTTCAATGTGTGCTAATTTAAGTATTTGCGTAAAATCATGAAAGACAAAATTAAAGAGACTTATAAAAAAGCAGAATACTGGCAGCATTTCGATTCCGGTGACACAGTGACACGGAGCCTATCAGCCAAAACCCCTCCATTTGGCGGTCGTTCCTGATAAATAGAACGGTACCGGGAACAGTGTCGCGAGTCCCGACAATGGACCGCCGGAAGACCGGGGCAGCTTTAATTTCCCCCCGTAGTTCCTGGCAATTACCGCGCGGCGCGACCTGATAGCCATCTCTATCTCCGACCACAATGCCGTCAGTTCCGACGCACCCCGTTCCTTGCCACCTTGCCAGCGATTTACTTCCCTCCTCACCCACGGAACGTCGTCGACCTTCGACGATTTTTCTTGTCCCGGCGTGATACACGAGCTGTCCGATGTCCCTACAACCGATTGGACGAACTCGCAAATTATTGATGAAAAGATCGAGAATCTAGATATATCCTCTAAAAATGTCTCCTAGAATCAAGAAAGAATCTTGTAGGAAATTACATTCTATATAATTTTATACAGTATCCATTAGTCATCATATGACTGAAATTGTTCGTCTCTCTCTTGACTGAATAATATTATCATTATTAAAGATCATTAACATCATCATGCTATTATTAGAAATATCCATTGGAGATTGCAGTAGAAATTAAAAGAATTAATTTATAATTAATAGCGGTGAATCTGCAAATAAACATTGAAATAAAAATTAATGAATTATTTTCTCGAATGTCAAAGTTTCTTAGATTGAACTTTTTTTTTCATTTGAAAGACGTCTGCTATAACATTCATGAATATTGCGCAATTAGTTTCTTCCGAAGCCGTAACTTATTTACACGAGAGAAACACAAGGGTACACGTGAGAAGCGGTACGCCCGAAAGTCGAGTGTTTAACAACTCGGCGGCCAAACTCCTTCGAGAAGCTCGTAAATGGTGTGGGACGATTGGAACGCAACTGCTTAAGTTCGGTCACCGGAGAAAGAAGAGAAGGAAAGGGTATGCGACAGCAGGTAAATCTCTCTCTCTCTCTCTCTCCCCTTCTCTCACGGCAACATTATCGTGTTTTAATTTAACTTGCAGCTGCACTTTAATTAGACTTTGGCTGAATGAGGAGACGACGCTCGACGGGCAAAGCGAATAAGTACTGGCAAGTAAACGAGAGGCGAAGCGAGCGAACTTTATTCCTCATCCATTTCCCTGTCCCTTGGCGACCTCCTCTGCCTTCCTCCCCCCGTATATCTCCTTCATTCCCATCTATATCTACGGTTAGACAGAAAATTCGAGTGATAAGGAAAGAGCGCAGCGGAAAAGGAAGGTAATTGGCCAATGCTGACAATACGGCCAGCAACGTCGCTTCTACTTAATTTTTCTTCTCTTTGCAACTTCACTTTGTAGTAAGAAAGGTATTCCTTGAGGTGCATGTCTTCGACGTGATTATACAAGAAACTGATATATTTTTGAAAATATTTGAGAATTATCCCTCGCACTTTCCCTTATATACAGTTTTTTTATTTTCCGACAAATAGTCATAGTTTATTTTTTCTATCGCTTCGCACGAATTTTATCAATATAATCAACATTTGCAATTTCATTTATATTTAAATATCTCGTTAATTAAGGCTATAATTTTTTTATCACAAGTTACTAGATCGCGAATTCCAGAATTCATTACTAGATCTCCCGCTTCGAACACCTCAAAAAACGCGTTTCTGACGCAGGGGCGTTTCCGCTCACAACCATTCAACTGTCGATATTACTCCGTTTGCTCGCACGAGCGCGAGCTGCTTTCCACAGCCGTATACATTCTTCGCGGAGCTTGCAACGCGAAACGCAATAAATCTCTCGACTCTTCCTCTCGTAACGTTTCTCGTTTCTCGAAATAATGATATAGCGAAGCCATGGCTCGTGTAAGTCGGTTTTCAATGGCGCCCCTCATCTCGCGCGCGCCGGTGTCTCTTCGCGCTTAATGAACGCCGAAACTGTCGCGAAGCCTTACTCATACCTTAGCGGCGCCTTTTCCACCCCTCTATGTTACGTTAGCACGAGCTTCGCCAACAATCTCGACAATGGCGGGTTTTCCTGCTCTGACGATCGACATCAAAGACAATCGCGAAGTCCTATCATGACCTCGTGAACATTTAACCGGATGGATTAAACACGCGATCAATTCGGCAGACGGAGTTCTCGAAACCACGTGCAACTTTGAAACGAGGGATTCGACAGTCAAAATGAAAAATCTCAAGATATCCTAAATTATTATTAAAAAATCGAAATTCTAGCCTGTTAGCTTTCCGAAATAAAGTAACAAAAATAGATATTATTTTAAAATAATGCAAAATCATGCGCCATTCTTATTTCCAATCATCCTATTTCAATATCAAAGAACATTTTTCATTTTCCTTTCAATTTTATTTTTTTATTTCTTTCTTTCTTCATTTTTTGCAAAACTCTAATACTATTTCCGTCCTCCATTGAGAACCTCTGTTTCAGGTCGAGAGCACTTATTCGGACCATAACTCCTACGTGTGTTCCCTTCTTTTTGCCATCCCGCCCTCATAAATATATGACGACGAGAAAGAGGAACAGCAGATCTATGAGAAACAAGGACGACAGCAGAGTATGGTAGAGCTGGGACAAAAACGGCGAAGTTATACTGCCGAAGGGATGAACGGCGGATGTAGAATCCGGGACTTTAAAACAAATATATCGCGCGTAAATCCAGCGTGGAAGTACGTAAGTCTCCTGCCGGGGAGATCCCTGGATGTCTCCCGAGACGAGAACGAAGGCGCGAAACGCTGCGAGGAAAGAGAGCGGAGCAAATCGTCGACATTTTGCTTTACATATTTCCCGCAGAATTGTCATGGCGAGAGGGGAAAAAACACAACCGTCAGACAATCACGAATACGAAAAGTAACAAGGCAGACGCTTAAAATATCATTCCTCTTCTTCTCTTCTCGCACAGAAATTTTGTAAATATATATTTTTTTTTCCTGTAATCTTAGATTATATATTTGGAACTGCACAAGCTAGTATTACGGAAAAAGAATTGGTCCTCGAGTGAGAACGTCTAGAGTTTCACCTGGGCCGAGTGAACCTCTAGCAGACCGAGCGTACATATCCCGTAGGCGAATACCAGGATTCATGAATACCGAAGTATTTGCCAAGTGTGTACCGATATGCGAAAGCATCGCACGGACAATTTTACGTATGTGTACTTGTACCTTCATTTGCCACTGAAACGCATATATACAGTATTCAAAAAATCATACACTGTAAAAAAAAAAAAAATAAAGAAGATTTCTATGTCTTGAATAACTTACAAATTTTAACACCAATGATCTCGACAAAAGTTTACTTGTTAATAAATTTCTCTCTCAGATAGGTGATTCCAAGATTACTTAATGTACAAAATTATTCCATAGACGATTCGAGCTATTAAAGCACGAACTCTTTAATAGCTCTAGCAACGTTCGAGAGCTATCTATCTCTTGGCACTGCAGACGTAATCGCTGCCTTCTTTCGGAAGTTATATATTGGCGATCGTACTCTTCGCAGGAATTGCGCTTGAGTGTCTCCGATATACACACCCTGTATAGCTACGTGGGCTCGGTACGCGTCGCGCATGTAGTCGGGCAAAGTCCCCGCGGGCTTAATACGGTATGCACGTCTGTCGTTCGCAAGCTCGACCCTATGCGGGCTCGAATCCGCTACCAAGCTAATATTCCACGAGAGGGCCCTGGGCTACGTGCTCGGACTCGGAAAACTCGTCGAGGTCCGCTCCCTGATACCATAGCAGTCGATTCCGCTGCTACGTCAGATCGGACAAAAGCGCGGGTAATTGCCGTCGGGCCGCGATAGATTTCGTCGACGGTTGAGTCGATATTATAAATATCCACAGGCGAGATAAGTCCATCAATTTGCTGGATAATTAATTATTTTAAATTTTAAGCATAAGAAAATCGTCGTTACATTTGCATCATCATCGTTGCGATTTATTCTGATTTTTTCAAATCTAATTATTAAAATACAAAGTGATTTTTCAAATTGTCATCAGTTTTTTTAAGGATAAGACAAAAAGAGACAGAAGAAAAAAATCTTCATCAAGAAAAACACAAGCTTATCTTGTGAGGCTTATTAACTTATCACAAATCTTTTATCGACAAGTCTTGATGGAAATCAAATTAAATTTGGGGCAGTATTAACAATTCTATGAAAGAATGTAATTAATTAATCTTTCTTCGATAAAAAAATATATTTTCGATAATATAACTTCCTTGTACTTTGTGATAACATATGTTTATAAAAGCTAATCTGTCTGGATTCATATATTTAAACAAATCAAAGAGGTGTTAATAGGACGAACGATACGTTTTTTAAGTTCGAATCAAGTAGAAAAT